GGTTGGTGTGTCTTAGACCCTGTACACACTAGGCGTTTTTCAACGCGCGTTTTAAAGAACCAAGAGTTCTATGTAGCCGTACACACTCAAACGCGCGCTTTTGGCCAAGCACGCGTTAAACGCGCGTTTATAATTTTTGTTAAAACGCGCGTTTTGCGGGCGTTAGCCGAGCGCTTTGAGATATATGTGCTGCCATGTTACCGTACATGTGATCGCGCGTTTTGCGGGCGTCAGCTGAGCGCTTTGAGATATATGTGCTGAAATGGAGAACGATTATTTCGATACTGATCTATTTATTGATGAAATCTAAAAGAGACCAACCATCGTCAAAGGATTTTATAGATATTTTAAAAGAATTAAAAAACTTGAATTTATTTTGTCTTAGGGTAAGAATCTAGTGTTGCCTGAGGGGGGCGGGAACCCCCCACAGTGTCGACCCCCCCCCGTGCGATCAAATAATGCCTAATGAACCATACCCCTACGGGCGACACATCACGAGATATAGCCCCCCAAAATCGGGCCGCGCGACATCGCGGCGCGCGTCGCTTAGCTAACTCGCGTCGCTTACCTAACGCGCGTTAGCTCGGCGTTCGACGAGCGTTTAACGCGCGTTGAAAAACGCCTAGTGTGTACAAGCCTTAAACTGCATAATTACCATTTGAAGAGTAAGAGAAATAATAGGCGTTGGCAGACTTACCTTAACTCGTAGTTGCAATTCGAAGTCATAAAACACAAGACGGCGGCTATATCCGCCTCGACGGACCAAACGATGTGCGATTACTTACGAAGTGGACCATAACGCAGCAAACAGCTGGTGAATTTATTTGTGGATTCACAGAAGGTACAACAAAATGATACACAGATTCAGGATTAACGCGAACCAACAACAACTAATCACGCACATAAAAAAAAAGCACGTTCGCCAGACGAACACTACATCCATTTTGTAAAAGCGCGCGAAGAGAGAGTGTCCCCTATCGGTAGATTTTAGTTAAGAAAAAAAAAACACCTTTTGCTGGTGCGAACATGATGAACAATGCTTAACAACGTTTATTAAATTTGTATTTACCTAAAAATACTTCTACTTACCATTTCATAATATATTTCATTTAACGCAATTTTTATCATGAAAATTTCGGTAGAAAATTTCGTTATTCAAACAATTTTTCATAAATATTCCGTTCTATTTTTTTCTATATTAAGTCTTCTTTTGCCTTTTGTATTTCTGTGATCAGCAGGCATTCAATGGACACAATCAAAGATCAAAGTCACAAATCGTATAGACACAATCGAGAAAAAGTCACAATTTTTCGAGACAATCGAGAACGACAAAATTCTGAAGTCAAAGATCAGAAAAAATGCCACAAATTTGCCAGTCACAATTGGAAAGTCCAAATCAGCGTACGTGTAAAATTCTTTTTATCTTTATTATTTTTAAATTTTTAATTTTTGAAAAATTTTACTTTAAAGTTTCTTTAAATTTTAAATTTTAGAACTTTTTGTCATTTTNGGAGGAGACGCTGTTGAAGGTGAGTGTACAATCTGGTTTCAAAACGGTTTTCTATTAGCCTAACTAGTGACAGTCACTTCCGAAGAGGTAGGTCAGGTGTTTTGGACAAGCCGCGAAAGCGGCGCGTAGTACTAGCCGACCGCGATCAAAACCGAGCGTGTCGGTGAATGAGGGGCCCTAGGTCCGAGGTCAAGGATGAGCGCGGGGTCGTGCGAAAAGGACCTAACTCGGCAATAATTAGACTGTAGTACATTAGAATAGGTCGATAGGCTTAGCGGTGCTTAGTACTGTAGCCGACCGGGCGAGCGATACCCAGTGTGTCGGCGAATGACGGGCCCTACACCCTCCCGAGGTCGAGAAGGAGCGCGGGGTCATGCGAAAAGGACCTAACTCCGAATTAGACTGCAGTAACGTTAGAATAAGTCGATAGGCTTAGCGGTCGAAAAGCTTAGTAGAAAGAACGACGCGACTCGTCGATCCCGATCGCCGGAAATGACGTAGGCGATTCTTTACAGGGCTATATCTCGTAAAGGGTCGCGCGCAGGGGTATGGTTCCCTTGACTTTTTCGTTCGCACGGAGGGGGTCTTCAATTCGGGGGGGTCGCCGATCCGCTCATTCGCAGGGTAAATTGTGGCTAACATGCGGTCACGTGACCCGTACAACAATTTTCGGAGGGCTATATCTCGCGAAGGGTCGCGCGTAGGGGGGTGGTTTATTAGACATTTATTGTTCGTACGGGGGAGGGCTACCCGTTGGGGGGGTGGCGACCCCCTCATTCGGAGGGTAAATCTTACCGAATTAGGCCCCTTCTTCCGAGACTAATTAGAGAATTTTTAGAGATCTGCTTACCACACCGGGATAACGATAATTAAGACTCGCTGCAACCACTAACCGGTGCGTAGTACCACTAAGTGATGAATAACGAACGTTTTCTAAATTCTTCAGGTTTACTTAATTCCAAAAATAAGCTGGATCTTCCAGAGTCATTTATAAATATGAATTCGAACATAAAATCGAACATTAAGACGAAGAGTTTGAATAGAGCGAACATATGCGCTTGCGCTCCCCGTGTCAACTTTTAATACGAAGGAGAACTAAATCTATCATTGAAAATCAACTATCATTGAGAATTTTAGAAGGGTCTAAAAATATGTTCGATTTCTTGCATAAATGCAAAAAAAATAAGGCATCTAAAATAGTACAGTTGAAGCCGAGTTCTTCGGGGTGATCTTTAACAAGACAAGTAATTAATTGCAATACATAAGATTTATTACTTAATTAAATTATATTTTCTTCCATCTAAACTGTCTACGTAAAGAGAAATTACACGAAGAAATTCAGTAATATTTAAACAGTTATACGGCTTCTAATTAGTGATTACAATTTAATTATTTTAAAGCTTCAAAACCAGTGTCCAACGTGTTTGATAACGCCTGATGAATTATGAATAGATTATTAAATGTTATCAAAAATGGATAAATATGAAAACAATTTAAATGCAAAACATTTACAAAAGGACTTTAATCAAATTAAACGGATTTTGTGAACGACAAGCAGAAATGATTAAATGTTCGCTTGTAACGCAAAATTCTCCAATAATTTAATATCTTAATTTTTCTTTTCCTAATTTTGATCATTCTCAAAGCAATATTTAATGCGTATAATCATTTGTTTTTTTCAATTTTGAAAATATACTTTAAATAATAGCATGAAATCATTGGAGTTATAAAGTCTATAGCATCATTGTAGACATAGCGAAAAATACGAAAATCTTAAATATTAAAAGTATAAGTTTTAAAAAACGACAATAATAAGTGTAAAGTAAGGAATAATAAAAATATTCTCTTACTCTGCCATCATCATCTGTCACTGATCCACCTTGGGTGAAGATCCACAAGAATTTTCTTCGGCTTCCGATTGAATTAACTCTGTTTTCCTCCATCGTTTCTTTCTTCTCATTAGTTTCTACAAAGTAATCATTTAACAATTTATCTTGTAATTTTATATCACAATGCGTAAACGTATTCAAACACATTCATTATAAGACATTTAACCCGGCTAATAAGTTGATATAGAAATATATATGTATGAGGATTAACCTGTATACTGGATGTCAGAAAGTAGTACCATTGTGTAAACAGTGAGGTAATATAATTTCAACTCATCTCCCACTGTAAACAAAAATCTGCCTACGTTCCACGAATTTTCTGTTTTTTATGTAACTTAGTATACAAGCGCAGACTAAAACTTGTATTAAATACGCCGGATGATGATGATAATCTCGCCGAGTTTATATACAATAAATTATATTTAAGTGTCGTGTTACATATCAAGAGAACTCGAATTTATTTTTTGATGTTTCAGTTTACAAGCGTTTTATCTTACATTTATACGTTATCTGTTAACGTCACACCCTGTCAGAATCCAGAGAAAGCTTAATTTCCAAAATACAAATAAGTTGAATACAAAATTGTAAATGTTATAAGGTGTGAAAACTTCATAAAGACAGATTCTTCACGAGGCCTACTTCTATTTGCCACCCCTTCGTGCTTCAACCACCCAAAGTGAATCGCCTCAATGTCCCTTATTATACAAGTTACCGTGCAAATGTCGGTTTGTAACGTTTATCTATCCCGAGATATAAAACGAAATAGCCACACAGACATATTTCGGGAATAAATTTTTTGACTTTATCGTGTACAGGGGTCTCAAAACACAACGATTTCAAAAACACTGAAAGATTAAAATATAACAGCCGGAAAAGTAAAATTCAGACAATTATATTGTTTATGCTTAAAAATTGTAGAAAATTTTTCGACATATACTTTGACGGATAAATTAATTGTCAATTAAATTTAATATCAGAAATGAGTACACTGCAGAACAACGAATTATGTCATAAATAAGAACATTGTGTCTCTCGCGATCATTTCATTCGTTTGTTTACTCCACCTGAATAATGTTTTCGGTGAATTTTTATTTAATGTCCGTTAAACTTGTTACTTTTGATAATTATTTTTGTTACTATTTAATTATTTTTGACGAAATACATGAAATCTTTGTAGTATTATGCATTTTGAAATTAATTTTGTATTTTTTGAATTGTTTTGAATATAATGACCTACGACAAGTGAAAGTCTGCGGATAGATAATTAATGTTAAGTTTCTTAATTTAAAGAGGTTTTAACTCAATGAGTTTAACATGAAATCATTCCTTAATAATCGTTAAACAAATTAATCTATGAATCGGATAATTCATTGTAATATCTTTGTGACCTCACCTTGATCCAATACTTTCACTTCTTCACTTAATGCAAATAGAGGTTGCGGCCGACGTTTCCATCGGAAAAACGTGTACATCGGACGTTCAGTGCCGCATTCCTGTAAGCCTAGAAGTTTGACAATGGCATTTGGAACGTCAGTGGAATCATGGTCGACGTTCTAAACTCCATTGTCAAACTTCTAGGCTTACAGGAATGCGGCGCTGAACGTCCGATGTACACATTTTCACGATGAAAACGTCGGCTGCAACCTCTCTAATGAATATTTGGACGTGACGTCAGTATCGCTGTTGGTAGAACTCACGTCATCTTCGGACGATTCATGGCCCAATTCCTCTTCTTCTTTGATGGTTCCTTTGGCCAAAGAATATGTTTCTAAATATACAAATGCTGTTTTCAATGGTCTTCTCTTGCGTTTAAAAGGAGTTATTTGATCCTCTGACGAACAAAAATAAAATCCTTTTATGTCATCGGAATCCTGTAAGTGAAAAATTCTGATTTCTGATAGAATAATTTTACAATATTCGTATATTTTTTTAATAAATGAGAAAAATTTTCATTTATAATAAATAAAAAACTTGCAGCCATTTTAATTAACACATTCTATTAGATTTGTATTATTGTCATGGTTTTTAAATTTTACACTTTTAAATGATAAGAGTTCTAAGATTAATTTTTAATTATTTCGATTGAATTGTAACTTACAGAAGACAATTTACTTTCTTCTAAGTCATCAGTAGTTTTTTCACATTTTATTTCTGTGATTCTTGTTTCCATTTCAGGTTCGTCGATGGGAATAACATTTAAATTTTTATCGAAATCGTCCGCATTAATATCTTTTAGATCAGACGAGGAACATTTAATTCTATTATCATCGTCCATTTGATTATCAGAAACTAGAGAATAAAAGTACACACAATAAACACAGCAATTCGTCAAATTTTCTTTGCGTGAATTCAATAATTATATAAGAATTTGAAAGAGAGAAACAAAGGTAATGACAAATAGTTTACAGATGAAATCCTTATTGTCGAAATATATTTTAAAACTATTCTATTGCAAATCCACGAAAACAGAACTAAAAATTTAGTAAAAGTCTATTATTGCCACATAGCATGAATATTGCAATTTGATTTGACATTATTAATTGCCTGGAAAGTGTAAATTGTTTTGATCATAACGTCAACTGAAAATGTAATATTACTGAAGAGAACCCGGTCGAAATAAACAATTGGATGTTTATTAACGTATACTCAAAAGCTTAATCTCTCTTGATACAATTTAATGAACATTCTGAGTAAAATGTCTTTTAAATATTCAATTTGTAGATTACGTAACTGCAGTATCGACAATAGCTGTTCACATATCAATAAGAACATCCAAAGTCTGGGGTGATGGTACATTGATTCCTCTCTACTTGCATCTTGTGTCCATACATTTTGTTTATAATATTAGTTTATTATTAGTTTTTGTTTATGTATTTGAAACTATATATTTTCTATGATTTCTAGTGTTTATCATTCAGATATTGGCTATACAATATCGGCCAAAAATCTTGGCTTTTTCTTACAGTTTCCACCTAGAAAACAGCCATGTGACTTATTTCAGTTCATGTAAATTTGTTAATATTATTTGTTAATTGTATTTTCATATTTCTATCTAATTAATACTGTAAATTAAGGACACATACCGTTAATGTGCTGATAATAAAGATGTGAGAAGCATTGCTCATTTTCGAGCACTTCTGTTGATTGATTTTCTAAAATATTTGATGGAGGTTCGCTCCTCTCTTCCTCTATCGACGAACCATATTGATAGTACTCGGGCGCTTACCAATATTGAGTAACTTCTGGCGCCATATCATACTCGGATGTTTGAGTAGGCGGCGCATAATCAGGTACTTCAGTTGGAACGTACCAAGCGCCTTGTTGAAAGGGTGGACGGTAATCATAAAATACTTCCGGAGACCCATATCCAGGCATCTCCACTATCCTTCCATATTCATCGACTTGTATAAATGGTCCAAATTCGGACCATTGGGCAGTTGGCCCATATTGAGGCCTCTGCCTGCCATGCTAAAGAATTAAACATAAAATTGATTAATAATAACAAATTTCAAATGTCACATTTATCTCTTATTTGTAATAATAACAATTCTTAAGTGTTATTTCCTTTATAATAAATACTGATTATTTGCCTTACGAAATACTAAAACACAATAATATTCAACAGCAGTAATTTATGAACTATTTGAATGTGTAAAATTAAATGCATCTATGCAATTTATTTACAATAATTATTTATTACTACAGAAACACTTGATAGAATTCTTATATATTACGACTCATTTGTATTTTTTGTTGTTGTTGTTTTTTTGGTATCGTACGAAACGAAATACACTAGCATAAACATCACGTCAAATTTAAAAACTTTTTATTTATCCTGTGTATTTAAAGTCTGATTTGCAAATGTTCTTTATTATTATTAATTATTTGTAGTGACAAGTTTATGGAACTTATCTTGTGTAATTAAGGGCAAATTGTATTAAATATGTATAGGCCTATATTTATTTTTAAACTTGAAACATTGTGGTTTGTTTTGTACAAATCTACACAATATCATGTTTTAGATAATGAGTATTAATAACACAATACCAAAATGTGATAATAAAGGTGAAATTTCTTTCTGGTCGTTACGTTACATATTGACATATCGATATTATACATTCATAAAGACCAACACCTCATTGAGTAGACTGATCTACAATAAATTGTCAGAAAATATTTTAGTTCTTATGTAAATTGCGAGCAGCCTATATTAAAATGGAGCCATCTATGATGTAATGTTTAGAATATTTTTGAAGATATTTGCTGGATTTGGAAGAGTATTTGAATAAAATGTGAATTCAAATTATCGTTACTAATTTATTTTAACTTTGTATTTAACTTACTTAAGATAATTACCAAAGAGCAATAAAATCAACTGTATTTTTATTATGTTATAGATTATAATTAAATCAACTTACCTCAAAATTAAAATAATCCATATAATTTTCATAAAGAAAACAAGTTTCACGAAAAACATATTCACCACCTGAAAACAATCATTCTTCAAAACGGACAGATTTTCGATGTTATAAATAAAACCAGCTCAAAACGCAAACCCGTTAAGCAGGTAAATATGTTCAGTAGCGTTCGCGCAGGTTTTAAAGTATATTAAATTTAGAAATTGAAAACAGAAAACAGCTCAAACATTCAAATAAGTTTAAATAAACCATTTAATAGTTTAAAAATGCAGTAAAAAATAATTTTGAAACAGATCATGTGGAAAAACGGTTTTTATAAATTATAAATTCACTTTCTGTAATAAATCTTGAATAAACTTCTTTGCATCAATCGATAAATATTTAGGATAGTGCACCTGGATGCCTTGAGCAACTGTAAAGAGACTTTCGCATCAATCATCGTGTCTTTTTATTGTCAACAATTCAAAAATAATAGTCGCTTACATCTGATTCTTTCTGCAACGGTCAATCTTTTGAAATATTCACAATCATATTCATAATGTTCCATAATTGTTTCTAAATAACTCGCCATCGGTGTTTTTCCGATTAAAATCTGGTATATCGTGTTAACCAAAAGCCCACCAATCGCAGTAGGAATCTGAAAATAACACATTGATTACACGAGTCAACAAAATACAATTGTAAGCGCGCCGACCTGATGGAAATTGGGGACTTAAAATTCCACTTCTCTGACACCACTGTAAGTTTCGTCAATTGGGGGAGGGGGGTTTATTTCCTACCGTCCGGATGGCTTAAGGTCTATTCGTATTTGGGTGGCGGTTTTGAGGAGGCAGGAAAGATAAGTGTTTCACAAAGAAACCGTTTATTTTTGACGAATATGCTAACATAAAATTATCAAGATCCTGGGGTTCAGAGTTCTGTGAGTTGTCTTCAGAAGTTCCTTTCTTATCTAAGTTTCGGTCCAACGCTGACAGGGCCCCGGGGTGGCAACACTGTAATGTTCTTAGTCGGGAGAAACAGCACAAAAAAAATGAACAGAAGTACGACGAGTGGAGAGTGAACAAACACCACAGGTAGACTAGAGGAGGCCACCTTCTGTCCTTGACGTCGGAGTTTTTATAAGTTTTTCGTGACCGAATCGTCGCTAATTGGAAAGATTTTTCTTCCGCACTTTCTAATTGGTCTCCCTGTCTCCGAGTTTAAATGGAGCTCCATGTCGGTCGCGGGAAAGGTCGGCTAGTGGAAGGTGGTCTATTCGACACCTTCCTTTAGACTCTGATCGCATTTAATCGATGACTATGACACCCACGCTCGTTTTGACATTTTCTGCTTTCGTTTTGCTTTCTAAACTGCGTATTAAAGTTTTAAATTTTCTTTAATTAAAATTTTGTTCTTCCCGCTATCCTTTATGAGCGTCGACGTTGAAGTTTGGTGTCGCCGATTCGACACTTTTACAACTTGTTTTCTTTACTATCGATCTTAACGAATTTTACATTTGGTTCTTTTTTTTTTCTTTTTTGTTAACGCTATTTCCGGACCTCACACAATGATTAATTAAATACGAATTGAGTTTCTCACCATATGGTTTTCCTTCAAGAATTTCAGGACACAGGTAATGAAGAGTTCCGCAAAACTCGTTCGGTTTTCGTTTATACTGAAAAAAGAAAGTTAGGAGTCTTTATATAGCTATAGTTCAAGCAAAACTAGGATAAGTGCAATACTTACTGTACACAGGCCAAGATCGATCAACTGCACTTTTTTGCTCTTACATGATCTTGTTAGACTATGACACACACACCTTATGTATCTGAGAACCAATGTTTATTGTTTTACAAACGTTTTCAACCTGATCTACCGGCCATCGTCAGGTTTTTTGAATTCTCTGGAACGTTTTTTGTATTGGTTCCAGGATCGAACGATTATGTGAAAAGAAATTCAAATTTTTATAACTGTTCGAACATCTTGTCGAAATGTCAAATATATCAAAACTGTAACAAATAGTATAAATATGCTAAATTGAACTAATTAAAAATAAATGCAGTAAAAGATAATACGAAACGTGCACTCTGTCGATATAGCAACACAATATACATAATTATGTTTGTATTTTATTTTATTCCGTGTATTTTAATTAGTTCAATTTAACATATTTATACTATTTGTTACAGTTTTGATATATTTGACATTTCGACGAGATGTTCGAACAGTTATAAAAATTTGAATTTCTTTTCACATAATCGTTTGATCCTGGAACCAATACAAAAAACGTTCCAGAAAATTCAGAAAACCTGACGATGGTCGGTAGAGCAGGTTGAAAACGTTTGTAAAACAATAAACATTGGTTCTCAGACACATAAGGTGTGTGTCATAGTATTTAAAGAATCTGAGATGTGATGTTGTTAGAGCCAACGCCTTGTGAATGATTATGATTCCTGTCAAAGCAAAACAATTTAATCGCGCAATACGCACTTATTAAATAAATATACAAAGAGAATTACGAAAATCACCTTTCTCGTGTATGTAAATTAATGCTGAAGCCACTTGGGCACCAATCATTTTAGCTTCAGTCTCTTCTAAACGTCCCTTCTTTTGTAAAACGCTGGTCAAATTCTCACCATAGATGTAATCAGAGAGGAAACACACTGAAAAAGATAATTATTACATCAGAGCACAAAAAATATTAGCAATAACTTATCGAATAACTTATCGAAAAACTAGTAAATAGGAATATTGGCAGTTAATGTTTACCAATACTACTACTATTAACTCGCGTGGTCAAATATCGAAACAGGATAGCGGTTACTGTTATCTATGGTTTCAAAATGGCCGTACTTCCAACGGTTCGTGGTCCAGAGGGATAAAAATGTAGCTAATGTAACAGAAACGAAACGAACCTAACCGAAGCGACGTCGTTTTCGAACCACTAGTAACATTAACCCAGAAAGCTGCAGATAGCACTCGTGTAAACACGGGAATCGAGGAAAGGCTTACCTCCGCACTTAGGACATGGCGGAAAAAACCGGTTAGGTCCGGATGTAGCACGAGCCCCACGAGATGGAAAAATTTCTCTGCTGCCTCTTCGGTGGGGAGATAGCGAAGAAAGCTATATGATGTTATACTATTGAATATTTTGGCGGGATCCATAATGGGAGACGCCGAAACATCACATGAATAAGGCATGTTTTGATTTTAACGTTTTCAATTATTAACAAATACTGGGTGCGAGGATCTGGAGTACAGCTTATATAACGGCGGGAAACGGTTACGAGTGTCACGTGACCCGCGGCCGGCACCCCATTGGCCTTCGGAGCCTCGGAAGACGGTTAGTGTCACGTGACCCGCGCCAGATTGGCCCGCGGAGTGCGCTATATCTCTATGGCTGAGGAACGACCACGTGATTTGGCTGTCATGCGCAGTGCTGCCCTTGAGCTAGTTCGTCTGAAATATGAGTTCCTAAATGCTTCTAGGAAGAGGACGTGCTGGACTAGTGGAGAAAGGCTTGGACTACAGTCAACATAGACCCGGGTTCGAAATACGGTCAAAGTAAGACTAATAAATAATAATGTATAGTTGTATTTACAGGCAATAGATGGCGACTACGGATGACTTCAGGCGAGTGACGCGGACCTGAGCGGGGAAGCGCGAGGACAGAGAGACCTAAGGAAGGTGTTCGCGACTGCGCGTTAAAATTTTTTCGCACGGTAGACTGCCTTTTGACGACGATGTCACATGACCGGATATGACGTAGGCGAATCTTCAGGTGCTTGTATCTGGCGAAGGGTCGCGCGTAGGGGGGTGGTTCATTAGACATTTATTGTTCGCACAGGAGAGGGCTACCCTTTGGGTGTGGTGGCGACTCCCTCATTCGGAGGGTAAATCTTATCACAACTCATACCTCGAAAGAAAAACTTTAAAATGCAACCTTTTTTTAATTAATTTTTCCAAACGTTTTCGGTTATTTTGAATGGCCTTCCTCAAGAACAGAACAATCGAATGATTCTGATTTTGCTTTCTATAACGAATTCTCTTTTGGAACATTTAAACATTTCAATTTTTTAATCTAATGCGCAGGGTCGTTCAGGGAGATCGTTGGAAGAAATGCTAGAAGAGCATAAAAGGAACGTACAGATCGAACAGCCAGTAACAGCACTAGCAACGTATGTTATAGCAGACTCGACAGAGATCATAGTGGATTGAGAAAGAGATAAAATGATACAGAAGATCCAGGACAAGAGACGTCTGAAATATGCTGAAGCATGGCAAATACATAAGACAAACCAGGAAGGATTAGCGATAAACTAGAGTCGAGTAAAGTCTCAGCAGCATGGAGAGCGGGTATAATATGAAAATTTTAGTACGAAACAAGGGACAAACAGTAGAAACATTCTTAATGAATATAGTTAAGAATACTGTAAGTAATAATATACGTTTAAAAATAAAAGTTCAAAATGATTAGTATATTGGCAGTAAAAGTGCTTTCAACCATCAGCAAAAACGTCATTTCCTGTGCTCTGGTGAATAAAAAATTCGCAAAATAATAATAATAATAATAATATAGTTTTTTTAATATGAAATAATCAAGATTATTTCTTAATTATTATTTTTTTTACTTTAAAATCAAACATTAATTTAATATTTATAAAATCCATTTGAGGATATAAATTACATCTTATCGATAACCGGAAATACATCCAGCAATATGGAAAATGGCGAAAGGAAGTTATGGAGAATGGATGAATCTCTTATTGATATTTTGCTTTTTACGTTTAAACGGAAAATAATTTGGTAAAATTTGAATTAACTATTAAATACCTTTAATTTTTTAGGGTTCTTCCTAGAAACGTGTAAATTATGACAGTTTTGAACATATAATGTTAATTTATTATATGATTATGAAATTTATTATGAAATATGAAGAAAATACATCAATGAATGGGCATTACACAATGCATAATCTAATACACAAGTTAATCATGAAATGTTTTAAGTGTGTATTTAATATATTAAATCTTTACATTCATTTTACATGTTGAATGTTTATACACAATCTCAATACTACATATTTAAATTATATGATTTTTTAACTTTAGAAACTAAAGCATTTATCATATTCTGTTTAGAACACATTGAAATAACCTTTTTGGCAAGGGACCTTAAAGTGGAGGTTACATAATAAAAGTCATTTTGTTTTAATTATATACACTCCTCATTTAAAACATTTATCTCATCTTTATCTGTGCATATAATTTGCACAACAGTAGTGAAGTTCTTCTGTTATGAGCATGATTTTGCTAAAAAATTTTGTATTAAGACAATCTTATTATTGTAATCAATCGATTATGATTGTTTAAAAAAATAATTTTGGATTATTCACAATATATTACTGTTTTTAGTGTAAGTTAATTGTTATGTTGAATAATTGTAATACAGGGTGAACCAAAAGTAGGTGGAATAGGGTTTTTGTTAGGGTTATACTATAATGACAGTATATATTTAACTTGTTTTCATTTAATCATTATTAGTGAATTGTTAAATTTATTATACTTTCTGGTAGAGTATATTTTATTACAATTAATCCAAATCTATATCAATAGATTCATGTTATGGAGTTTTTATTGTACTTCTGCATAAAGTCAAACTTGTCATTCATTTTAGTGAAACCTTTCACAATCTTAATGAGTAGCAGAGCATATTATTATGGTAAGGAACCATAATATTAAACAATCAATCATACCATAAACAGGAATGTTTGACTTTTTTTATTTTATATTTTTAATTAACATTTTCAGTGTAATTGACAGAACATAAAAATGTTAACCTTTGAAATAAATAAATACAAATACTGTACTAAAAAAAAAAATGTATACTTAAACACATCAAAATAACTGTTGATTATAACAACATTTGTATATATGATTACCATTTGCAGTTCTACAATAAAAATACATAACTGAATGGATTATATTTGCATTAAAATTGCATTGATGTGTACACATCAATGCAATTTTATACTTTATGCTTGTATATTTGCTGAGCAAAATTCTTCCTAGTATAATTATATAATGTAAATAGTGTTCATGCTAACATTGTTCGTCTTAGGAAGTATCTGGTGAATACAATTATTAAAGAAGAACAGAAGTTAGCAGGTGAATGCTTAAATGCAAAAGATTTAATTTTTTTCCAATGTATGGAAATATGCATTAACTAGCAAGTCAAGAACATGCACATCAATACACTTTTAAGGCAATTATAATCCACTCACTTATTGTGTATTTTTATTTATTTCTTTTTATTGTAAAACTGCAAGTAGTAATCATGTATGCAAATATTGTTATAATTGACCCTGTAATTGTTTCAGTTTTTTTAAAAATACAATAGAATCTTGATTATCTGAAGTAATGTGAACTGATAGTATCTGGGATAATCAAAAACTTGGATAAAACAGATGACCATAGCCATTTCAAATTAAGAGTATAAAAGATTTAATGAATTTAATCATTTATAAGAATAACTTTTTTTACATCATATACTATACTTTTAATATGAATGATTTGTCTCACATTAAGGCTAAATGATGAAAAGTAACATAATACAAAATGATTTGTTTCTATGTTATTGTTTTAAACTTTTCTATAAATTACAGTGTAAGAAAATTAATAATTTCACAAAAAATCTTAAGCTGTTGAAGGGTTATGAAGATAATTTCTAATTCTTTTTTTTTTTCCTTCCTGGATATACCAAAAAGTTATTTCTACAATCAGCAAGTATTTTTCAACATCATTTTTCTTCATTAATTATCTTTATCTTTACAGAATAGACAAATAATAAATGAAAATTATAACACATCTGCACTTTTATATAATTAACAAACTATAAAATCTAGAATGTGGAAAACTGTTTGAAAAGCTGACATTTGAAATGGTTTTTTAAAATCAAAATTTGACTTTTTGTAACTACTATATAAATTTTTAACTTAAAAAATTGTTCTACATTTATTTATAGCCATTGACTTGCAGAATATATATTTTTAAGATGAGTAATCTTAATGGTGATAGTTCTCATATATACTTTCAGTATTTCTGTGAATTATTGACAATCTAAAATGTTTATTTTATTAGAATGAAGAACCATAGCAATATGTTTTAGAGTGTTATAATAATTACTGTTTTTGATTATATTTATTTCAAAATAAAACAATGATTAACTCCAATGTCATTTTAATGTACATTGAAATTTGATACGTGATATTGTAAAATGTTGTTTATAATTTGTATTAGTTTTTGCATCATTTGTGTTTTATTTTTCCAGCTACTATGCACACACAACAAAGAAAAGTATTGGAATCACGTCAGATTTGATCCTCTGGGTTTTTTTGCAAATCTCTACATTTTGACTTCCCTTGAATTCAAAAAAGACAAAAAGAAAAAAAAGTGAAAAATTCCTCTTGTGTGTGTTGGCATCCATTTTATTTAATATCTCAGATTAGGATAAAGATTAAGAAACAAAATTTGGCATGATAATGTATATATAAGGGACATTGATGCTATTAAATTTTGGAGGTTAAAGGTTAAGGGGTTCAGGAGATAGAGGCGGGTCATATGTCATATCGCAACAGGTTGAACTTAATTAAGATTTTACTTGTTAGCATTTTACAATTTTTATAACAAAATCCCATTATAGCTAGAAAGTTATGCAACTTTCACTGGATATTTTGAAAATATGATTAAATGAAATTAAAACTTGGCCAATGTACTTTTGCATTTTTTTTTTTTTTTTATTGCGGAGGTATAGCCTCAAGTAAAAGATCATCTCCGTATGTGAAATTGTCACTGGTGTTTTTAAATGACAGGAAAAGGAAAAAGAAGACAAATTTTGTATATTTGTGATATTTTACATTTTTATGTAAATGAAAATATAATTACTATTGTAATTGCTTATAATAGTAATTTTAAATGTTTATATAAATATTTCTTTTATATAGATTATTTATATAGGAAAATACAGTTTGGTTTATTTTATTGGAATGGATAAAATTTCATGATGACAGGAAGATATCGGAGAAGTGTACTTAATCTGTAAGTTTTTTAATTAGTTCCTTAAGCATTTTTTTTTCTATTGTTGATTACTAATTACTAAATTATTTTTATTAAAGACAAGGAATACAACAATCTGTAATTGATAATCATCCTTTACCTGAAATAATTGATGGGACTCCTAAAATTGAAGATTTAAAATTAGATGATGATTATAATTATTCAAGGTATAACAATATAAATTTTTCGTAGATTAGACTAATTATTTTAGTATATATTTAAATAAATTCACTTCATTCAGAGTATTGGCATTTGCAAACTTATTTTGTCAGAATAACTTTGGATTAAGACTGATGAATATTAAAAATGATGATGATGATGATGATAAAACATTTTCATTCGCTGCTACTGTTGCTATGCTAAAAGAACTTCTCTCTATACTAAAACAATAATGTTTCATACTCCATTTTCAAGCACAGTCTTCTACTTACTACTAGCAACAGAACCTATATGTTTCAATTGGACATATTAAAAATTTTTTAAAATTATCCTCAAATAATCTTATATTTAATTACAACATATGGGATTAAATAATAATAGATGTTAACCATCTTGTTCAATTTTTATGATTATTTTATAAAATCATTAAATATAATCATGCAGGCAGCCATATTGCTTCATTGGAGTTCAACATATCCATGTCCAGATGAGTGTGATGCACATCGGTTGCTGCACTGGTGAACTCATTGATGAATATTGAACACATTTTTGTACATTGCAGTTCACCAATGCGCTGTTTGAAGCATACTGGAATGTACCTAATGTCTTTTCATTTTCTATTGGCAAACACAAGACATAATAACAATCTATCTTTAATAATGAAATATTATACCATGTAGATATAGCAATTATCATTTGATTATTAACTGCTTAATGTAGCATTAAGATTTAATTTTTTCAATTTTCACAACCAATTAATATGAACATTGGGCTTTGAGATATTTCTCTTTGTTTTATCATCACTCAATTTAATTTCAAAAGTCTACAAACAATTGTTTGATATTATACCTCTGTCATTAAGTTAATATATTTTACTTTAAACTAGTGTAAAAATTTATTGTCAAACAAATGTAAAATATAGTAGAGCGTCATTTATCCGAATCAATTGGGGACTGGGGTTGTTCAGATAACTTATTCTTCGGATAACCAATTATGTACAAAAAAATATATTAACCTATCCCACGTTGAAATTTTTCTCCGTTGCGTGTCACTTTGCGTTGAATTTTCATCGATGTTAAGCCTAACGTAAACTTTTTAAAATAATAATCGTGGCTATTGTATCATTAAAAATTATTTCTTTATTTTTTACAAACAAAATAAATATATTGAAAAATATAAAAACAAAAAAAAATTATACTTTAGAAGTTAATCTAGTATCAAAAATATTCGATTCAGCACAACACAGTCCTCAGAAAAACACCACACAAAAGTGCCAGTGCTGCCAGCTAAAACACACACATCAACAAAAAAAATATTAGAGTAGCCCAAGATGAAGCCAAAGATTGCAGCGCCACAGCACTAGTGAAAATTTAAATTTGCCGACTGGAATTCTTTCGGATAACTGACTTTCGGATAAACGACACTCTACTGTAAAAGAAAAAAGGCCCAAATTACTGGATTTTCTTTCCATCTGTACTTACAACACGGAAAAGTGCTTGTATTTGGCTAAATTATGATGGATTTAACGACGTGCCAGTGACACGAATAGGATGTAATCTTGCAGTTGTCCACTTTCTAACTCATTCCTACCTCAAGCATATAATACTTAGTATAAGTAGGCAATGATGTAATGAGTGACTGTACTGATTAGAGACAAAGTAAACGATGTTTTAATTTCACTTTATGATACAAGATCCTCACATTTTGGATAATTTTCCCAATTAATGTCTTAGGCATAGTTAAAACACTATTTCATTTTTTGCACCTAACATCATAATATTTTTACACTTCAGATTTCTCCAGGACTGTCTTAATTTTTCCCAATCTCATTTCTGCAATCAACATATTCTGCCCCTCTGTATTCTTTGTATATGACTATAGAAACAAAAATCTTATATAACAGGCTGGTCAAACCTTGTCTTGACCCCCTATTGTCCTTAGAAATATAAGAGAGCTGCATCCCCTATTGGAATGGTATTTTATATTATATATAGTTAAAATAATACAGTTACCATTGTTTCATAGTAAATGCCCCTGTTACTTTACTGATATTTTATTAATGTATTCTTAGCTTTCAGTTGCCTGTTAAAGGTTAAGTTTTAAGTTATGCTCAAAATTCACATGTATATCACACTAAAGAATATCAGTATACTTACAAAATATCACATATGTGTAAGTAGTAGAGAGGTTGCAGACAACGTTTTCATCACAAAAATGTGTACGTCAGACGTTCAGTGCCGCCTTCCTGTAAGCCTAGAAGTTTGACAATGGTGTTTGGAATGTTGAGCATGATTCCACTGACTATTCAAACACCATTGTCAAACTTCTAGGCGTACAGGAAAGCGGCGCTGAACGTCCAACGTACACGCTTTCACAATGAAAACGTCAGCTGCAACTTCTCTAGTATGTAACCAGTTTATAAAAAGAAATTGCATAAGTATACAGGAGCAGCAGTTTAAGTACAGGATTACAGGATCCAGAAAAATTGCAGTTTAGCCACCATGATTTTATAAAGATGATGATATTTCAGTTACAATTCAGGAGTACATAATTCATTTTTTGTGATTACTATGCATTATAATCACATTATTTCATAATATTAAAGTACAGATAAGTAAAGATAAATAATTATAACAATGATTTTATTAAAATAATAATGACATTAAATTTCATATGTAAAAAATTTTACAGATTTGATTCAGATGCAATACAATACTCAACAAAATTAGAAGACAGAAATGAAACATATGCATTATCATCTGATTTTACCAATGGAACAAGATGCACAGAAAGTGTGGATTCATGGTGTGATGATGTAAGTAATTATTTAATTAGTTTTTTTCCATAAAAACGAAAATAAAACATAATAAACTAATTACAAATGCAAAATAATTACTTTTATCTGTTGTTAGGAATTTGAAAGAGAATGTACTAAAAAAGTTGAAGAAATGTTAGAATTTATAAATGGAATAATGTATGATGATAAACCATTTGAAGATATAAATCTTGAACTCAAAAATGAATGCAAGTTGTGGATTGAAAAATTTCCTCATTTTAGGTGATAATTATGCTAATATTATGTTAATTTACATAAAAATTATTTTAATAAAAGAAAATTATTATAGAATTACAGGAAAACAAATAGTACAAGTTGAAGATAACAGCATTCAGTTTCATGCTTTTTCATATCCATCATCATCTCCAGTTCAGTCTGAAGTAACCTTTGATCCATATTTCAAGTAATTATGTTGAAATTTTTAATAATATTTATCATCAGATTTTATTAAATAAATGATTAATATTTTCAATTATTAGTGTCTTTTTTTATTATAGAATTAAAACCATTACATTTATTCCTAAATAAAATAAAACATGAATTATCAAATATAGAACTAATAAATACTAGTTAACTGTTTTCAATAAAATGTTAGAGATTTTGAATCATTTGAATATTAATATTGTTTTTCTGTTTATTTCTTTAAAAAGATTTTTTTGTTAATATGTTATTTCTAGATTTTCTATATTTAAAAATGTCTCTTTAAAAATGTAATCATCATAATGTTAGAAAAAAGCAAGAAAAATTATAATTTAGATGTATAACATGTTTCCAGGACTCTACGTAACTATGACAGTAAACAAAAGAACCACAACACAATTTACATTTAGCTTTAGCTAATGGCTTTAATAAGAATTTTATAAATAGTAGTAATATCTTAAGTAAATTATCCAGAATAAACTAAACAAGATTTATGAGTATTTCACTGCATAAATTTATGAATTAAATTAATGTATAAATCCTAAATCTAATACAATATTATTAATCACTCACTAATATTAAGTATTTGATTAGAAGCAGTTTCTTATAGAAAAGCAAAATGGTACACTTGAAAGATGTCAAGTGTTACCAGAAAAATTAAATATCTCAAAAAAAGTAAAATGTTTGATAAACTATGTGATGTCAAAAGGATATTGGGAGACCAAAATTGATAGAAAACATTTAGCATAATATGAAGACAATTGGACCCTTGAACCTGATACACCACTAAGAAAGGAAAATTTTTTAAATGAGTAAAAAAGTGTCATTGTCAATTTGCTTTAAACTAAGATTTGAAAGAAGTAATGCATACTTGGTTTCATCTGTCAGTTTAAAATTTATCTTCCTAGGAGTTAAGAACTTGAGTAACTATACACCAGTGTATTGAAAAGCAGAGGAACTATGTTGAAAAATTTTTCTTGTAAGATCATTTTTCCATTGTAATAAATTTTATAAGACATTGCATTTAATGATTGACTCATCCATACAATTCAAACAACCAGAATTTACAATAAATCAGGCAATCAATTATTGCTGGAGTCTTTTTAGATGATAAACTAATTTATGTTATTTTCATCTAGGTTAAATTTAAAAATATTGACTAAATGAATTTGGCTCTTTGCAGATAAAAATACTTTTAATTAAGCTTTTTTAAAAATATTTTCTTGTATTTCAATTAAAAACATATTGATTATGTATATATATTTTTTTAATTTATATAATTTTAAGTTTTCAGGTTAAAGGAAAACAACTACCAATTCTTCCAAGTGAAAAAGAAACTGCTACATTAATTGAAAATGATCTCATTAATAATGAAAATACTAATATACCAACATTTGTTGAGGAAACTATTGCTCAACATGGGGAATATGAAGAACTTTTTGCCTGTCATAAAATGTATATAACTTTTCAAATTATTTAAGTAATGCAAAACATGTGTTTTTTTACTTTATTGATTTTTTAAAAATCATTTTAAGCAGTGTACATACTTCAAGCAGAGAAAGTTCCTCTTTAGATAATAGTGCATTACATCATTTAAATATTGATTTTGTTAGGGAATGTGTTCTTGATAAAATTATGGAAAAACTGTGGCCAGAGGTATATATAAAATTTTAATTTGTTAGTTATCAAAGTTTATTATACATTGATAATATATCATTTATTTTAGTTACTTTTGGTATCACACATAATTCAAGAAGAACAACATGATAAAGGTATTTTATTAATTGGTTAATGATAGTTGTTTTTCTTGTATACAGTGGAATCTGTTTATTGTAATCACTTGGAGACTCCTCTTTATTTATAACATTTATTCTGCTTAATTTTGACAGTATAGTAACACTAAAATTAATGGAAATTCTGGGTTTTATTTACTCTTGATATTTAAAAAGATGTTAAAACTAAAGAAGTTATAATTAATAATCTTCAAGTTATACAGTTATTATCAATGCATACAATATTGTTTGTCTGTATTTTTTCATACTATTTTAATAATGGCTAGTGTACAATGAAGAAATGCCAACAGTTTAATCCATGGTATTGTGAGAAAACAAATTAAAAATGTTTAAATATTGAAAGCATTGATTATGATTGATAATGGTTACATGTTATCAGCCACATGCTGAAGCTGATAACACAAAAAGACAGCTTAAAAAATGCATGTTTGCCTAAAAAATAATGATGATGAATGTAACCAAAAAAAACTCTGATTTTGATAAGCAAAACATTAAAATTATAAGTAACTTTAATGTTTTGCTATATTTTGATAACATTTGATGACTGATAATATCCATGGTTACAATAAGTGGATTTAACTGTATTTTATAATTATAAATTGTTAAATTTCTATGAACATTATACTTTTCTAATTTATAAATAGAGGAAATGTCAAAAAAAGTTCTACCATCACTTCCATCCACCATACCACATTTAAGAAAATCTCAGTGGGATCCTGAAAAAGTAGGAAATCCATTAGATGGTATTTTGACAGTTTCTTCAAAAGTTCTTCAGAAAAGAGATCAGCGTCTCAGGTAACAAATTGCATTTAAGCAAGAAATTTAATTATGCTTACAACTATTATTCAGTTTTTTTCTTCCATATAGTGTGGAATCAAATATTGTAACAAGACCAGGTTCCAGTTTAATATCACCAAATAGATTTACTTCCTTGAATTCACTCATACCAACAATACAAGAAGTGCCTTTAATTAAAACTACAACACATCACTCTAATTTTAATTTTCCAAGTGTTCCAAATAGTCGTACATCTTCAGCCCTTCAGCAATTTAGAAAATTTTCAATAAAGGATTCAGAATGGCCAAAAGTGCTTCAAGTAATATGTATTTAAATATTTTATAATTAGAGATGTAGTGAAAAACTAGTAGTGTTAGAATTTAGAACAGGAATAAATTAGAAATGTTGTTAGAATAATTCATAATAAAGAATATTATATATGAAAATATTTTAATTATATTATTGAAATATGTTGTTATAGAAAAAAATGATATATTATAAGAATGAAGTCTGGGTTAACTTATGGTCAACTTGTGACTATAGAAATGTATCAATAATTAAAAATATAAAAATTGATAAAGTAAAAATAATACATGTTTTACATTTCAGGAAGAAACTGAAAATTTACCATCAGTTACACACACATCTATGATCAATGTTCAAAGGCAAATTAGTGAACCATTTGATGAAAAAAGTGAAACCAAATTTCCATCTACTCATTTTTCTCTTCCTCCAATTATCAATAATAATATAATAATTTCCAAACAGGTAAATTTTAAATTTAAAAGATTATGAACAAAGTCAAAATGTTTAATATATTGATTGCTTTCTCATTTGCAGGCAATTGACATCATACAATGGTAGAAATTTATACCAGTGTAGTATCAGTTCTATTGTAGAATTTAATTTTTTCATTTAGTTTAAATCAATTTGTCAAACCAAAGACCTTTGTGTTGAAATCAGTAAATTAAGCCTAACAGTTGTTTTTTTTTATTTACAAGCTTGCAGCATTATTATTATCTCTGTAGGTAGAAACCATAAGCTTATAAGAAATTTTTACTATAAAAAGAAAATTTAAAATTTCATAAATATAATTTTTTATTATATCTCTAACTGCATTATTAATTAATAAACTCCACCATACCTTTAAAATGCAGTCTATTTTAAACAGTTATCGAACGTGCGCAATCGAATCTCGGAAGATTGTAGAGCGTGCGTTTTTGGAATTACGATTTGGCAAGTTTAAATTCTTTACGTCGATCCTGAAGAAGGTCTGTTAATTTGACCGAAAACGTTCGATAACTGTTTAAAATAGACCGCATTTTAAAGGTATGGTGGAATTTATAATTTTTTATTTAAATCATCAAAAATTCTCAAATTTTTAAGATTATTGAACTTTATTAAAATTTGCTAGAAATTAAATGTTCTGTTTAAAAAAATCTTAAAATATATTTTATCAAAATGAAAATGAATTGGCATTTAATTTATTTATATTTTTTGATAGACAAGGTTTCCAATTGTTTATTCTATATATTGGCAACTAGACAGAACAATCAAGTGTTTTAAACAATCATCTGTCATTGAGCAACAAAACAGGCTTACTTTTCCCATCCGCCTTTTATTCAAAAGATCTAATTTTACAAACACTACTTTTTATAATCAGAAGATAATTGATATTTTATGTCTGTTTTATTTCCAATTTAGTAATTAAATTTTAAATGTTATTTAAAACACATTGCAAATCAATTTAATGCTGTGTGCTTACAATGTAAACAATAACAAGGCAATCAGTATGTTAAATTCAAAAAAAACATTTGAATTATAAACAATATTGAAAATAACTTTTTTTTTGTTCCAGAATGTCAAATCTCCATTGTTTCAATCAATGATTGAAAGTCCATCAGAAAAATTTTCAAAGCAGCTGAGTAAAAATGAAAAAGTGGATTCTAGACCCAGTACTTGTAAAAGTAATAAGGTAGAAACTCTAGAAAACTATATAATTCATGAATATTTAAAATATTATAATTATATTTTAAAATTGGATTTTCAGGAAGTTTTTGTTAATAACAACGTGAACTAAGGTTTACTGTTGGGTTTTTTTAATACAAAAATTAAATTAATTTTCTAGTGTGCTTCTAAAGACAGTTTTATTTTTTATTATAAGGTTAGCAGAGTTAATAATCTATATTGTAACTGATCTTTGTTCTTTGTGCATAAGAAATTAAATTTTCTGTTTAAGCCAGAATGATAAGACAAAGATAGGCTATATGTTTTCTTGTTATATGTTATAGGTTTGTTATTTTAAATCTTGAAAAGATAAACTTGCTTTTTACATTAAATAATTGTTCTTAAAAAAAGGCTGTTTATCATTTGATAATTATTTATTTAGAATTTCTTTTATTTTGATTCCAATTTTATTTTCAAATCTGTTTATTTAAATCTATAAATAAAAAATGTATCAGTAAACTCAAATTCTTTTAATGCATATAAAAATTTTAAAAAATTTTTTCACACTAATATTAATATCTATTTTATTTTAGAGTATCAGAGAGAAGAAATCTAGAAATAAAGTAAATTCCAATAATCAGCAAACATACAGTATGTACAAAAAATTTTTTACATTTATTAATACAATAAATGAACTCTTTCTAGTAAATTAATTTATGTTCTAGACCCTTTTGATGTACCAATATTGGGAGGATTATCAGAAAAATTACTGTCACCCTATCAGTTTAAAGATTCAGAAGCACATCTACCATCTTTGGAGCCTAATTTGAATACAGATCAACTAGTCACATTGTTTCCAGTTGTAAAATCATTAGAATTGCAAAGACAAGAAGATAATAAGAGAGTAATTAAAAGAAACCAGAGTGCAAAAAAATACAGTTAGTACTTGTTAATATTATTTTATCATAAAAATATTAACCAGAAATTCTAATTGTTTATGTTACAGAAAATGTACTACAATTTAAAATATTTTAAAATAGTTCATAAAATTAACATAAACAATTACCTAAAGACTATCACAAAAACAAAATATCTCTAATTAATTTAAGTTTTTAAATTTTTAAATGTTTTTCTTTACAGATGTCTTAAATCGAATAAAAAGATGACCTCTTCTTATTCATCCATTTTGTAAGAAATTCTATATATTTATTGATACAGATATTAAAATATTTTACTAATTTAAACTGTAAATGATTCTGTTGTGATAAACTGTATATAACATTCTTATATAAATTTTAATAATAAATAAGGAAAATTTTTTAAATGAATTTGCCACAGTTTTTATATTATTGAATATTACAAATCAAGATTACAATATAAACTTATTTAAATTATTAAATTATGATGAAAAAATATTTTAAAGTACCAATAAAATCAAAATAATTATACATTTAATATTATAAATGTGTTGTATTTACAATGTGAATTTTTTGAGTACCAATGTTTATAATACTGGATGAGTAAATGAAAGTAGGATGTGGACAAGTAACATTAATCATTGGATTGAAATGATATGAAGCATGAGTTAATGAAATATTTTAATTATATATCCCGCAGGACGATGAAGTTTCTAGTACAAGATCTTCAAAGAGAGAGAGAGTTATCAATTGGAATACATTAGCGGTCAGTTTAACCTTTGTACAGTGGGTTAGTCAGCTATGACACTATCACGATATTGTGGAGAATAAACATGGGAAATTTTTAAAGTATTTTCCCACGCGTTTTTCTCGTTACTGTTTCGGAAAAAAGTTTTTTAAACAGTTTTGTCTAGTAAATTCTTTTTTATTATCACATAATTCCTTTTTTGTGTGAATGTTTTTTCGTGGTAGTTTTTGGCTAGTTTTTGACAATATCACAAAAGAATTTTGCAGATATAGATGTCATTCACCAGTTCCATGCAATCGCCCTTGATGGATATATCCTTCAATCACTGCAGAGTGGTTGACCTCTTGGTGACACATGAAATCTCTGACATGAGTGTCCCATCATTAGTATCATAATACAATACCATTGGGCATCTGACTGGCCATTCCTGTCATTAGATTCAATAGGCTTCTGCTGCAGATATTGACAAATTAAAGCATATTTAATGAATGTATTATTTCAAATATACGAGCACTAAGACGGCTTTTCTTTTTCACTAGACTTATTACACCATCAATGAAACGGAAAACAAACTTTAGAAAGACTTTTTATTTATTTGAGTATGCAAGAGTTGAAAAGGGATATAATAATCCGAAATGCATACTCAAATAAATAAAAAGTCTTTGTAAAGTTTGTTTTCCATTTCATTGATGGTGTAATAAGTCTAGTGAAAAAGAAAAGCCGTCTTAGCGCTCGTATATTTGTACACAAGACTAGACAAAAAGCATATCGCATAATTGAATGTACAGTGGTGCCTCGTATAACATACTTAATCCGTTCCAGGTTCACGTCCGTTAAGTGAAAAGTCCGTTATACGAAACACATTTTCCCATAGAAATACATGTTAAAACATATAATTCGTTCCGCAGCATAAAATAACTGTACTGTACCATAAAAAAAAAAAATGAAAATGGAGAAGTCACCAATTATGCCGGATAGTCAGATGTTGTGAGGAGGAGGTGGAGGAACACTTTCTTCACACATTCATACAGATACAAACTTTTTACACATTGCAGCAGGTCTCTTTTTATTGTTTTTTAATCAGAGTCAGATTCAGGAGAGGCTACCGGAGCTTGCAGGGTCAACTTCTCTTGTTCCATCCTTTGTTTATTGCCTGCTGGCTTCTTGAAAAACATGTCCAAGGTGGTCTGTTTCTCTCTCTTCTTCAACACCTGTCGGAAATGATGGGCAAGGGTGTCATTGTAGAGATTATTGATCCTGTTGGCCTCAGCTCTGTTTGGATAATGAGTGTTAGTAAACTCCTGAACCTCTCCCCATTCGACAAGGAAGTTTTTGTCAACTTTCACTCCTGATGATTTCTTGCTTTGTTTCAATTGAAATCACCTTTCTGTTTTTTTAGAAGTCATGATTTATACAACACTTCAATAAATGTAAATACCCTGACTGAGGTGATGTACGTAATAAACAAGGGAGCAAGCCAAATCCCAACAGGAGCTCTGTACTTCAGATAATACTAATAATATATTCTAAAAATAGCAGATTGCCATTGACAACGGCAAAAGAGTGAAAACGTCATTCGCACTTGTTTGCAGAAAGTTTGTTGTTCACCTCATGTAACTGCCGAACAGAAAGTTTGTTGTTCGCAGTCAGTCCGTTGCTCGAGTCACGTAACGGCCAAACAAAAAGTCCATTGTTCGCAGCGTCCGTTATACGAGGCACCACTGTATTATTATTTATAAGTTGGATACTTTTTAAGTTTATTTTTTAAATTATTTTCTAGCTTTGGGTTAAGTTTTACCGTATTTATGGTTTTCATGTCAAGCATTACATCATGATGTAGGTTTGTTCCATTACTGATAAATTGGTCCCCACTGTTTATAAAGCTGTAACTCTAGCACATGTATAGGATGTCATAAGAGGACTCAATCTGAGATTAGAACAATTACACTTCATACTCTAAATTTGCATTAGCACATTCATATATCATTAGACTCAACAATTTTATTGACAGAACACAAGTTGGGAATGCCTGCAATAAAGTATACATTTTTATTCAGATAGCCAGAAAGAGGATTTTATTGTACTTAACATATTTAGTCACTTTTGCTTTGTGGGCAATGAGGTCTTTTAATATGCCCATCATGGATTGGCCAAATCTACAATAAAGGCAACCTTTGGTGATGGACTGTCTTGATGTAACCATTATGGATTGACCATAAAAAATTCCTGTTGTTTTATATTTTTAGTTGTTAGTACAATGATTAATATTTACTATACTCAGTGCCATAACTAGCCATTCGTGTACCATGTGCAGGAATTTGCATTTAGGCCCCTTAATTAATTAGGTTTGGGAAAGTAATAAAACAAATACATGCATTTTGGGTCCCTCTTTAGGTGCACCTGTTGCACCTGCCTAGTTATGGCACTGACTATACTAACATTTTATTAAGATGTTGATAACAGATATATAGAAATTAGTGTGTTATTAAAGAGCTGATAAAATTGATATTATAAGTTGGTTCAACCTGAAACAAGGTCACGTGCAAGACATGCCAGAATCTGTAATGAGTATCAGATTGGTTATTCAGGCAAGCAAGTGAAAATAACTAATAAGTAATAAAGCAAGTAATAAAACTAATAAAATAAAGCAAGTAATATCACACTCAAAGGATTACTATTACTATGAAAACATTGCAGGAAAAGACAAAGTTGTGTAGTCACTTTGCAACCAAAAATATTTTGAGAACTATGTTAAATTGAATATTGAAAAGGTTTGTAGAATGAGGTACTGCAGAATATCAAAGGAATGGACAGATCAATATCTAGAGACACCAAAAGAAACTAGGGCAGTAGAACAAACTTTCAATATCTGTTGTAAATATGACTGCAAAACATGTCTTAGCATTAAGTATTCTATAGGATATTAAAGCTGGGAACCACTGTACACAGGAAAATAACTAACCCAAAATATTCCCTGAATCAAGGAAACCTTGCAAAATCTAATTTCCGAAAGCTTGTAGACATTAGGTCAAACCATAAGGTATTGCTTTTGGTGATGAAACTTACTGTCCATATGACCCAAGGCAAATTCTAGGACTGAAATTTTACCTAATTTTCATAATTATTACTTTAAGATAACTTATTTGGTAATATTTTATAAAAGATTTTTGATATGAAATATTAAAATGAAACATTTGTAATTTATTTCAGTAAAATTTAATAAATATTTTTTTTAACAAATTTATCATAGAATTAAATATATACATAATATTTTCGGATAAATAAAATTTTCTTGTTACAACTGCTGTGCAAAAATGCAGATTTTGCAGAGATGGGCCAAACATGCATTCATTAAGAGTACAGAATTCAAATCTCTGTACTAAGTAATATTTTTATATATTTCGAAAGAGCCATTGCCATGTTTAAAGTAATATCAATCAATCCCTGATTAGAAGCTTATAATTAATTTATTTCTTAACATTATTATTAAAATAATTTGTATTATTGAAATAGTAACCCATTGAGTTCGTTAAATATATTCATGAAAATTATATAAATCCATTAAAAAAGTAATTTAAGAATGGTGTAATTTATAGTTTAACAGTAAAGTGTTTTTGTAAAGCTCAACAAGCAGTATTATTACTTGGATGTCTCCCAGACTACAAAATAATTGAATAAAAAGGAAATTTTATTATGCAGATTCGTTGTGTTTAGAGAACAGTCACAAATTTGATTATCATACTTAAAGTTTCCAAAGAAACTCGCTTTCTTCATTTTATCCAAAGGAAAATGAAGGTTTACCTCTCTTGAAATACTCTCTCCAATGTTTTTGTTGAGTTAACTAAATTCATCTTTATTTATTTATAAAAAAGAATTTAATAGAAAAGAAAACATGTTGACAAGTTTACGTCAAAAAAATTCAGTCATTTTGTATTTTAACATCTCAATATTTTAAAAGATTTAATAAAAAATTGAAATATTTCTAAAAGTATAATTTTTTAACCAAATGGATTCATTTCACATGATGACACAAAAGTTTTAAATTCTCTAGAAAAAGTTTTTGAATTTATAAAATATATCAATTATTCAACATTCCAACTAATATTTATTTTCTACTTTGTTTAAAAAGATTATTTTTTTAAAATATCCACATGTTTTACATACTGATTCAAGTTTACTAGACATACAAATTTTATATATAAAAATAGCTAGGAAGTCAGTTAATCCAGATATTGTATAAAATGAAGATAAGATCATATAAATATTAATACACCATCAATTTGCATCTTTAGAGTAATCTAAATAGAACTTTAGATTATTCTAATTTCTGTTTAATTTAATTATTTTCAAGTTTAAAAAAAAATCATCCTAAATTCACAAATAAATGAATTAAAAAGTTACATATTTAATTTTAACAGTTTCAAAATATTCTATTGATTTTTTTCTTTTAAATTATTAGAATTTCATTCAATAAACTTAGAAATTTTCTGTTACGACAAACTGATTAGTCGATATTTTTTGGTGGAATTCCTAAAATTTTTTCCTACTTAAATGATGAATAATGATACTAGAATCATTAATCAGAGAAGAATGTTCGAACAAAACTTGAGAACTAACGATGATTATTTGAACTTTTCGATTG